AAAAAAAAAGACAAAAATTAGCTGGGCATGGTGGTGTGTGCCTGTGGTCCCAGGTACTCTGGAGACTGAGGTAGGAGGATCACCTGAGCCTGGGGAGGTCAAGGCTGCAGTGAGCAGTGATCACACCACTGCACTCCAGCCTGGGCGATAGTGAGACCCTGTATAGATCAGTCGATAGATAGAAAGAAAGAATTCATCAATAACAGCATATAGTATTTGAAAGCAAGTATTGTATTAAGAGAATAAAAAGAAGCGTTGGTAATTGAAGGTAAATTGATGCCTTTGTAGCAATAACTTGGCAGTTCTGCAAAGCTAAATCATGTTTATGGCCAGTCATGAGTAGACTGCAAAATTCGAGAGTTCACTCTTTGCAGCCTGTGAATGAATCTGCATGACATTTGATTTCAAACCATCTTTCCTTTGGAGCTAGCAGGAGCTTCTTTCAAGCATACTTCCAGCCGCTAGTGCTCCCATCCTCCTTGATTCAAATAGGCACAAATATGGCCATCCATTTTTCCTTTACCTTTCCCAGAAATGTGATTGTTTTCACTGCTCTTTTACTGTTTTCCTCTTAAGATAAATATAGTAATGATTTCATAAGATGACCATAATGCAGAATGTTTTCCTAAATATCTGCCTTTAGTGTAATGTAATTCTGATGCAGAATGATGGCAAAGTTTTAATTAGCAACATTTAAGCTATAAGAAATAACCAGTTGACCTTGGCAATTATTCCATTTATGTATTCAACAAATATTATATTAAGCACTTATTATGTGCTATAAGTTTTGCTACCTGGTGGAGATGATTAGCAAGACACAGTCCTTATCATCTAAGGACTTGCAGTCGGGTGAAGTAGACAAATAGGTGCCCTAAAATATAATAGGCATTCTTCTAGAAATCAGAATTCAGCGAAGACCCAAAAGAGGTAGTGGTCAGGTCTAAGGTAGGGATGTTGAGAATGGAGAATAATAGAGCAAGCTGGAAAGGATTCATAGAAAAAGCAATATTGAACTGAATCCTTTAAAAAAATAAAAAAGAAGGGAAAAGAAAGGAAAGAAATACAATTAATAGAATCTTTGTAAGCTTTTTCAATGTAAAAGAGATCTGGAGAGGTAAGAGAGGACCCTGATGAGTCTGCCTTAAATGACTTGCTGAAAAGTTTGAACTCTAACCTGTGAAGGGCATTAAGAAGGGTGGCCATATAACCAAATTGACATTCTGGAAAGAAAGATGTGTAAAAGACCAGTTAGAAGATTATTGTACTGGTGCAGAAGAGAGATGATAATGACCAAACCAAGACAATGAAGAGAGAGGAGAGGTAAAATGTGAGATTTGATTATTGCAAAATCTGTAGGATATGGTGAATGCTGGAAGGATATAGTACTACTGAGTTCCTCTCAGTGAGAGGGCATCTCTGGGTCCAGTCAGGTTGGGGAGAAATGAATTTTCTTGGCCATGTAGATCAGAAGCTTAGGATGAATCTGGACTGGAGACAATGCTTTGGAGCTTGGCAGTAGTTGAAGCTATGGGAATGGTTGAGATTGCCCAGGAAGGCTTGTAGAGTGAGAAAGAAATGGGCTGAAGGCAGAGCTGTGAAGGTCACTAATAGGTAAGGGATATGCAAGGGGAGAGGAATGGCAGGAACAGGCTGTCAGTTGTCTAGCATCTGAATTATGTGTGTTGGGTGGAGGGGTAGATGTGAGTGAAGTAATACAGATTGCCACTGTTGGTATGACTGACAAAGCTCCAGCTCCCCATTATACCACCAAGGGACCAGTGAGTATTTTATTGGAGAAAAACTGAAATTGCCCCGTCCAGTAGGGGAGGTAATTTCCAAGGCTTTTAATTTCCTGCTAAGTTGCTAAATCACAAGAGATTGTTTTAAAGGATACTCTTCCCTCTTTCCTTGTTTGGAAGGAATTCTATAGGCAGAAAGTTATTCTCAGAGCCCTGGGCTTTGAGAACCTCCTTTAACCATTCATCACAACAGCTCTGAGTAAATGAGGCATATTTGTATGGCTAAGGAGTCCAAAGAGCCACTGACTGGGTAGCAGTTAGTTAAGCTGGTAACTGACCTGCTTTATCTCTGAGTGGCCTCTATTCCAACCCTTATATTTAGAGACCTGATATGCTTCATACTATTGGATGGCACATTCTAGAACTCTTACTGGGGTGTCCTCCTGGAAGTGGCCATGCTGAACTGGACACATCTGAGTAATCCATGGAAAGTTCCATGGGTTCTTTTTGCATGGGTCCTGTTTTCTGAGATAGGTAGATCCATACCTTCCTAACCAACAGGGGAGGGGGTAGAACCAGGGCTGTGGGAACTCCCTGAGTGTCAAATGGAATTTTCAAGAGATTACCCTCATCTTTTTCCAAATGTTTTATTAAGGTGTGTGTACTAGCATAAGGAATTCGTAGTCTCTGTTCCTAAACTTTGTTCCAAATGGTTATGTGGTTGCAGTTCTCCGAGAATTGACTTTTAGAAGGAAGACACTAAAACATCGGAATGTAACACAAATGCACTGTTATTCCTCCCCTCTTTTGTCTCGATCCCATGGTTCCTAGGAAGCAGCTTTATTCCTAGGAAGGAACTTTATTCTTACACATTTAGGCATCAGCTTTGTCTGCTAAGTCCTCCTTCTCCCTGACCACAGAAGACTTCATGGTAAATCAAGCCCACTGCTCTCACAAGCTTTTCTTCTTAACTTGGTCTGGTTGAAACATAGCTTCATGCAAATAGTATCAACATTGCTTATAGCTTAGCAGGGCTGTCCTTTGGGGCCAGTCATAATGACAGCTGTATGATAGTAAAAAACCAATGCCAAAGCAGTTTCTAAACAGTAGTACTTGTTGAGAGGAAATGTTTTTCCTCTATCAGGAACTTTCCTCTGGGACCTGTTTATATGTCTGTGCGCACGCATGCAGTGGGTGCTAGAAAAGAAACAACTTTTCATGTGGAATAGTGTTACTTCTGAGAGAAGGAATTTTGCCGATTAAATGTTTGTAGGGATTCATTTTAGAGTTTCTATCCTTTGCCCAAGTATGTCTTTTGTGCTTAATAGGAAATGAGCCTTGTTTAATTTAGTAAAACATAACACCATTTCTTTAGGAAAGTGAGGGATCCTTTTCCCTTCGAACTTAAGTGTTACACATTGGAACATCAAACCAGGTGTTTAAAATACTTGAGTGCTATAACACCTGTCCTTCTGTTACAGGTGCAACAATGAGAGTGAGTGGTCCCAGATCCACGAGAACATCATCCGAAAGTCCAGTGCCAAGTACTCTGCCCCCAGCGCCAGCCATGGTGAGGTACCTCTCTGACTAGAACATTTTGTGTTGCATTTGTAGTTGCTAATCATACAGTACTTCAGTTGCTTGGTGCAGATTGCCTGCTGTATTCCCTATGGACATTTATTCTCCTGTCCAGGCATTTCCTACTCATTCTTTTTGTAGTAATTTGAGGCTTTCCCTAATATCTGCTGACCAAAATACATTTTCTGCTTTTTCTAGGATGAGTTCCATATGCTTTGATAGGTAACTTGAGTTCTAATTCAAATCCAGAGTGAGCAAAAATGTTGCAGGGTTTGTTACATTGTGAAGTCTATGTTTGCCTAAAAAAAAGATTATACTCAGCCAAATAAATATCTCTCTCTATATATAGCTAGATATCTATATAGATGTAGACATCACACACTTCTCTTTCTATTCCTGAAAGACTGACCATAATGAGAATCAGTGATTAGTCTGTCAGTATCAGTCATTCTGAAACTAGAATGGAAAATCTTTATTTCAAAGAAGCTTCATTTTAGCTCAACTTCTCCTTTTCCTTTTCCCGTCCTTTCTTTAAAAACTCTGTTTAAATAATTTCTATAAAATCTCAGTACAGTTCTACATATTGTATTGTTTTCTAAGTTAAACATTAATGCTTGATTAAATTAGAAACATTATTTAAAAGCCTATGTGCCTTTATAGACCCTTGCAGATAGTTATCTAATTTACGCAGAACCAAGTTACTCCTGACAGTTTTTACCTCTAAATCATTTTATAACCTCTTTTACATAATCTTCTTTAACTTGCATAGACCTTGTTGGAAATTATAAGTTGTCCTTAAATGACAGTGTAAAATCACTGAGAGGCAAGCAGTTTCTAAAGAGTAGTACATGTTGTAGAAAACTTCATTTTTTCTCTGTTGGGGTGAGCAGATACTCAACTAGGAGGATCCTTAGAGGAGATCCACACCAGAGGCTGCCAAGATTGAGACCTTCAGCTGTAACAACTTGATTCCTCTAAAACCCTAGTGGGGGTTTAGGTGATATCTGAGAGCCTCTCACTATTTTTAAATGACAGTTTTCCCTTATACATGTGCCTGGATGCCAAGTAGCTCCATGCAGTATGCTAAATCTAGGCTAAAGCAAGAGACAAATAAAATTTTATTTTGAAAATATAGGAAAGTTACTAGCAATTTGGGAAACTACAATACATCCATATTTGTCATGTTCTTTGCTTTATTTACTTATTTGATTTATAAAGAGGTGCCCTTGACTACACATTCTTGGGACATAGTATGATTAAAACATATAGAGAATATTTAAAAAGAGAGATGATAGTACTAATTCGTGAAAGAGCAACTTCTACCATTGCTTCACCGGGTTAAGATGATGAGATTTGTCTTGCTCCCCAGAGCGAGGAGCAGGGACTGTGCCATGTTCTGTGTCTGATTTTTGTCTAGAACTCACAGACACTTGCCATTTAAACAGTGTTAGAAAGACCTCTCTGCGGGGCACCACAGACTTCAGAGAGCCTCAGTTGGGATGGCTGTAATGAGAGGAGGTCTCTGTGTAGTTGTGGAAAAGTCAGTAGGAGGAACAGGCTGCTTCTTTTTGAAGTATGTTAGAAGCTAGCTGAGACCTTGGAAATCACCTGTTTCAACCCCCTCATTAAATAAATGAGGAAACTGAAGCTCAGCAAAATGACTTAGTGGCTGAACAAGGATAGAACCCAGGTCTCCAGACTCCAGACCTTTGGCCTTTCTACTCAGTTGCCAAGCTTCTGAGCATAGGTTTTCTACTGCTGGACTCTGGGGTCTTTGTGTCAGAGAATTTTATAGATTGCTCAAGGAATATTTCAGGTCTTTGTTAGTCTGCTTAATTAAAGATACATCTTTATTAGAAATCAGTTTACTTTGCTATAAACTTTTACCCATCTTTGTTAAATATTGTGGGCAGTTCATTGCCTTGCAGTTCTGTTTCCAAAGTCATTAGTGCTTTTCCTTCAAGTCACATAATTTAAAAATGCAGAAGCAATTGCTACACTGGGTTTGAATGCTGAGAGTAAATGTATCATCCAGCAATAACTCTTTTATGTGAACTTTAACAGATGTGGGTCTTCATTTCCATTGTTGGCCTCTTGGATATGTAGCTACAAACTGAACTTTTAACAGTTCCAGTAGTAGCATGAAGAGTATTAAGGACAAGTGAAGATAAAGCAGTTGACACACAAGTTTTCTATTTATTTTAAAATGACTGTTAACTACAATTTATTTCCATATCTTGGGCTGACATTAATTTATGTAATTAATCCTCATCCAGCATTTCCACAAGGAGGGGTGGGGGCGTGTGGCACAAGAACAGAGTCAAATTGGTGCCCTCGAATATTTTACACAGGTGTTAATTTGTCCAGTTACTTTTTTATGAGTCAGTCTTTAATCCGGTAAGAGGTTCAGTAAGAAAATGGTTTTCTTGTGTCAGGTAATCAGTGAGACCAGATTAACAGAGAAATTGTATAGACTTTGTTATTTTCAAATTCTTTGATTTGAGGGCCCCATTGAGATGATAGTCAGGTAGAACATCAAGTGTTGCCAAGGGACTGGTTGCATACTGGGTGAGTGGGTCACTTTTCTGAACTATTAATGAAGGCCCTCTTGTGCCCAGAATCATGCCTTAGCATTATTTGGTATGTGCTTCATACCAACACAGGGTTTCAGAACTAGAAAGGAAACCCACAAGTTCCAGGATCCCAACTCTACAAAAGGACATACAGTTTTTATAGCCTCCATTGCTGATTTCTTTCATTCTTTGCATGTCTTTTCATCTGATCCCTTGCATGAACTTGAAGGTTTTCTCTTATTTGTTATGTTTAGAAGTAGAGAGCAGCTCTTTAGGATCCCTTTGGGTAACTCAAAAGCTAACTGTGATACTCTCAGCACCTTTAGTCAACATCTTCATGAGTTTCACTTTGCATCTGTAGGCCGTTTTGGTTGCTCAGAAAATGCAGAGACAAAAGGCAGTCAGCAAGTACTTAAATAAACCCTTGCCAATGCAGAATGGTTAGAGTATACCCACTGATTTTTTTTTTTTTTTTTGGCTTTTGCCGTCCAACCGCAACTCTCTCAAATTATGGAGACTTTCATCCCCAGCTGTTTGCTTCATGCTGGGCTGTCTCGTAAGTCTGATTTCTGTTTACCCAGAGGATATGATTTGATAGCTATGTAAACACAACAAAGATGAATAAGTTAGGGTTATGAGGGGAGGGCAGATATATCCTAAGCTGTTCTCTACAAAGATTATTGTGGTTTTGGTTATGGCTCCCAGCCTTTCAGGTTCATAAACTAATTGCAGTTTAGTCCGACAGTGATTAGGTTTAAGATAATTACTTTAGAGGGGCTGAAATCTTAAACACTGATTATCTAACCAGAATACCAACTGGAATACTGTATGTTTGCCTTTTCAGGGCACTGTGATCCTGGTGTTAATGACACTTGAGATACCATGTTTGTAATCCCAAGGTTTCTTGGGAAGCATGAGTTTAGCAGAAGCAACAAGATAATCTTGAGGTTCTGTCTGAGCTGTAGTAGAACCGTATTTCATCCCTTGGCCCAGCTCTGAGAGTACATATTCCTGGCTACTGGCATACTTTTTTTGCCAGATAAAATATCTGTAACTCTTCTATCTGACTTCTGTCTTTGTCTACTTTTCCATTCCCTCCTCCATCCCCATTCCTAGACCATTCTTATTTTACAATTCTACTTGTTACTATCTCCATTCCAGCTACTACTCTTGTAATTGTATTCGTTATCATAACACCTTATTCCCTCATTTCTATAGATGTTCATCTGCTATTTAACTCCCAAGTTTATAGACCAATGAGGGTGCCTCCTCTCAACCCATAGATCAACGCCTAAATTCTTCATCCTGTTAACAGCTAAACCCATTCACAGTTATAGAGGTAGCACTTCCTAATTCCATAGAGGCTTGACTGTTACAGCCTTCTAGCCAGGAGCTGCAGAGGGGACCCTCAGGAGGGTGCTGTGGAGGTGGAAATTTCAGGAGATTCTAGCTTTGTGCACAACTCCAAGGGTGTAAGTAATGAGCCAGAAGGCAGCTCACCTGGGGTGATATTTCAAATACTCCCAAGTTTTGATTAAAGATCATGTGGAGGATCTGAAATCCTCATGGAGTCAAGGCTTGGTTAGTCCCACAAAAGCACCCTCTTTTCTTTGCAGAATGTGATGTCTCCTCTGTTGCTAGCCAGTGCAAGATTAAACTAGCAAGTTACTTCCCACACTTTGACATACTCCCAGCATAAAACACAGCACATCTTAGCTTGCTCATTTCTCATATTTGGGATGCCCTGACTGAAGGTCTTCTTTGGCCATGCTTGTTTCTACTCTATAGATTTCTCTAGGTTCCTAAATATATAACTTATGTAGTTCAACCCTCTCATTCAGTAGGGCCAGCTGGACTCTAGTTGGATGCTGGGGAACAGAGGGAGAGACAACTCAATCTCCCAGACCTGAGTCTGTGTTTAATAGACTAGTTCTCTGGGTTATTGGGGTCACTTTAACTTAAATTTCTTTAGCTTTCCAAAATGTTTCTTGAAAATAACTTACACTTTCTGCCTCAAAGTTTTTCTCAAGAATTTTACTGAACTTTGCAAATTTTCTTCTGGAAAATGTGACTATGTCTTTTCTAGTACTATATAACAGGGTAGAACTGTGGTTCTAAGAAAATGCTTTTGGTTTTGCAGGTCTTATCATTTCTCTGCAGCTTCTTCGTGGAGACATGGAACAGATTCGGAGAGAAAATCCCATGATATTTAATAGGGGATTGGCAATTACAAGAAAATTGGGATTTCCTGATGTCATTATGCCAGGTATGCAGAACTGCTTGGGACTGGGAAGGTAGATGGGTTAGGATGGAGTCTAGTGCTCCCCTCCTGAGAAGGTGGTGAACTGTGCTATGGAGGAGACCTGCAGCTATTAAAATCTCCCACATCCCAAGTCAGACTGCTTACTGCAGTCTGCAGTCAATGGCCCTTCGGCTCTTACAGGCATTTGTTCTTTTCCAGAAGCCCCTACATTACATTCACCAGTGCAACATGACAATCCAGCAGATAGGTAGACTTTGTTGTCTTCTATGAAGCCTGGATGGTAGAAGTGAATATGGAACCTTCATGGAGAGTTTTTATACTCTTCCTTCCTTTTCTTAGAAGATAATTGTCTCACAAGAACTTCCTGCTTAAGGGGAAGAATATATCAAAATATATGCGTGTAGTATCAGTGAATCCCATATGTGTAGGAATAGCAGATACCTTGCCGTTTTCATGTATCAGAAAAATAGATCAGGCAAATGGTATAAATTAGACATTGTGAATATAGCACTACCTGGCCAGCTTCTCAGAAATTGTCTCACCCATTTCATCTAATGCCCAGTGGAGAGCCAGGGCACAAATTGGGAATGCATTGACCCTCAACTGTGGTCCCAGTAGGTCAATATCAGGTTCATGTTTTCTAATTAGGCAGACATGGGTAGGACTGGAAAAGTGGATCCAAATGGGGCATCAGAGCCAAGGGAGTTATCAGGAGTGAAGGAGGGGTAGAGGCATGGTTCAGATGGATGGTAGGTGTTCAGATAACCAGAGAAGATGCAGATAAGGAGAAGAAGATTAGAACAGGTAAATGTCTGGTTGTCTGGATAGATTATAGGAGGAGTGGACTTACCCTCTCAGTTGAGTTTTTTGTTGTTGTTTGTTTGTTTTGAGACAGAGTCTTACTCTGTTGCCCACGCTGGAATGCAGTGGCGCTATCTTGGCTCACTGCAAACTCCACCCCCTAGGTTCAAGCGATTCTCCTGCCTCAGCCTCCCGAGTAGCTGGGACTACACATGTACACCGCCACACCTGGCTAATTTTTGTAATTTTTGTAGAGACAGGGTTTCACCATGTTGGCCAGACTGGTCTCGAACTCCTGACCTCAAGTGATCCATTGCTGGCATACTGGTCTTGAACTCCTGACCTCGGCCTCCCAAAGTGCTGGGATTACGGACTTGAGCCACTGCATCTGGCCTCAGTTGAGTTTTAATGCCCTGCTAAAAGCTTATTTGCTTTTATTGTAAAGGGCCAGGCCAGACTAGACTGAACTGATTATGATCACTTTAAATATCACTTATTTGGAGTTCTTCATGGTGGTTCACTAAATTCTCTTGTTGGAAGCATTTGCCAGCACATACACAAAGGGTTGGGTAGCCTGGCCATAGAGAAGGCCTATGTGATGGGTTCCAGCTGCCTTCCAACTTCCCAGGCTATGCCCAGATTTATTTCCTGTCACCTTCATTCTCCTTCCATAGACACTGTAAATGCAGAGCAAGCTGCCACGCACAGCCTTCATCCTCTACTAATGCACACAGGAGAGTCTTTTGGATGGGAAACGTAGGCTAGTAGATCAATTATGTTTTTATCTAAATGCTAGGGAGACTTCATGCTTATGAAAGCTGTTGTAGGGGTAATGACCGCCACAGGACACTTCTACTATCCTGTCGTGACACCTTTCTTAGCTCTTTCTGGGCTGCTAATTAGGAAAAGAGCCCAAGCATAGTCAGGCTTCTTGACTATGAAGGGAAAAAAAAAAAAGGGCCAGGCGCGGTGGCTCACTCCTATAATCCCAGCACTTTGGGAGGCTGAGGTGGGCAGATCAGGAGGTCAGGAGATCGAGACCATCCTGGCTAACATGGTGAAACCCCGTCTCTACTAAAAATACAAAAAATTAGCTGGGCATGGTGGTGGGCGCCTGTAGTCCCAGCCACTTGGGGGGCTGAGGCAGGAGAATGGTGTGAACCCGGGAAGTGGAGTTTGCAGTGAGCCGAGATCGCACCACTGCACTCCAGCCGGGGAGACACAGCGAAACGCCGTCTCAGAAAAACAAACAAACAAAACGTTACCAAAATTGAAAAAAGAATAAATAGATACCAAAATCAACCTGGTGATCTTTTAAAAATTAGATATCTAGGCTTATGTGGTGGAATGTATCCCAAGGGGATATACTTAAAGTCCTTCCTTTCTCTTAAGAACTTTTCTAAGATTCAGATACTACCTTCCTGATAGTCTTCACATACTCCTGGGATTAAAACCAAGTGATCAGAGACTAGAAAGGAACAAGCTTCAGTCAAAAATGTATTTAAGCAAAATTTGATTTTAAGTTACATTGTCAAAATCTCATCTGTGGAAAGAAATCTTTTTTAGGATACTCTGCATCTCTTTGTATCATTGGCACACAGCTAGACATGACTGTGCAAATGTGCAATTTCAAGCATTGGTAAGGCAAGCTGAGGTTAAGGGGATTTTCCCTCTGGGCAGCTAAGATATCATCATATGATTTTCCCCACAAGGCAGAGATACTGGGCAGTCCTGGCAGGCCCAGGGTGGGGCTGTGAGCCTGCCTTTGAAGTACTGAGTGCTATAGCCAAAAGTGAGGACTGATTCATAGGCAGAACAGCCCTTTTCCATAATCTTCCATCCTTTCTCTTCCAGAGAAAAGAACTTTTGCACAGATGGCCACTCCCAGGGTTGTGGGCTGTTAACAACTCTCATTTCCCCCTTAATATGCCCCAATATACTGTCAAGAGTAGGTTTGCAGTCCCTGGGCAAAGTGATAGGACTGTACCTGCAGGTCCTATTGGATCAGCAGGAAAAGTATGCAGGAGTGTTTTACATTGTGGTCAGCCTGTCTTGGGAAACAGTGACTGTTAAGAAGTCCTTAGGAGTCTTTTTCAAACCCTGGCCGCATCTCTACCTGAAGCTAGTCCACCCATCATCTGTGAGAGTGTTTTACTTGAGTTGTACAGTCCCTCAGCTCTCACGGTGCTGGTGTGACCAAGTTACAAGAAATTACAACTTCATCTTCTTGACCCATGAACATGTCGAGAAATAAGAAGGAAAGAAATCATGTCAGTAACTGTGACCATGACAGCATGATAAGTCTGAGAAATTAAAGTAAATGAAAAAATTAGAATTATTCATAAACTGTGATCCTTATTTTAAAACTGTCCAGCATTTGGCAGAAACTATCACTCATTTGGAAAGGTCTTTTTTTTTTTTTTTTTTTTTTTTTGGTCAGGATGGCCCAGATAGGTCCTTGTCAAAGCATACTGGCAGAGCTGTAAGGGAGAGTTCACACAGGCTCTAGCCACACCAGTAGCTAACATATGATTTCTAAAAAGATCTTGACATTCTACCATTGCTTTCCATGAGAGCGTACATACATATCACAGGGATGATGTGAGCATGAGATATTCTGCTCTTTCATGACTGAGGCCATGGCTGCACAGCCATTCAGTTCTGCTCATGACCCTTGGTAATGAGCAAGAGGCAACAGTGATACTGCTGGTGTTCTGGGAGCCAACCCAGGAAATGCCATCTTAGATTATGGAAGAACAAATAGATATGAGAAATTTAGCCACTTTTTTTTTTAAACTGAGCATATAACCTTTTGTTAGTTGATCACCATATTTCAGTGGATACTTTTTCTTTCCTTCTGAACTCATTTTAGTGAAGTATAAAAGCTAATAATAACTCTATGGCACACTTTCAGTCCTTTTCTAGATTTTTTAAGAAGATGGGCAGGCAGGACAAACAGGACAGGTGTTCCAGGTAAACAAATTGATGTTAACATTGTTTTCTGTAACTCCTGTGTCAGAATTAACTATAATAAAACTTTAAAGAAAACGGTTAGCCAAAAATGTATAACCTGAAAGAAATGATTTAAAACCTCTAACTCGGGCCAGGCTCAGTGGCTCATGCCTGTAATCCCAGCACTTTGGCAGGCCAAGGCAGGCAGATCACTTGAGGTCAGGAATTCAAGACCAGCCTGGCCAACGTGGTGAAACCCCATCTCTACTGAAAATACAAAAATTAGCCCAGAGGTAGTGTTGGGCACCTGTAATCCTGGCTTCTCAGGAGTCTGAGGCAGGAGAATCGCTTGAACCTGGGAGGTGGAGGTTGCAGTGAGCCAAGATGGCACCACTGCACTCCAGCCTGGGTGACAGAGCGAGATCCCAACTCAAACAAAAAACTTAAAATAAAACCTCTTACTTGGTCAGACACAGTGACTCACGCCTGTAATCCTAGCACTTTGGGAGGCCAAGGCAGGTAGATCACCTGAGGCCAGACATTCAAGACCAGCCTGGCCAATATGGCAAGACCCCATCTCTAAAAAAAAAAAAAAAAATGGCAAAAATTAACCGGGCACGGTGGCGTGCACCTATAGTGCCAGATATTCGGGAGGTTGAGGCATGAGAATTGCTTAAACCCGGGAGATGAAAGTTGCAGTGAGCCAGGATAGTGTCACTGCACTCCAGCCTGTGCGACAGAGCAGAACTTGTCTCAAAACCAAAACCAAAACAAAACAAAAACCTCTTGCTCAAGAAGGGACTGTACCCTTCTTCAGACCATGTCTAAGCCAGCAGAGATGTGCCACCACTTGCTATGGCTGTCTTTCTTTGCTTTCCTGGAAAGTCTGTACCCTGTAGTCAGTGGAAATAAAGGGCTTTGTCGTGGTTCTTTGGGAAGCACAATGATTTAACCTGTTTTCTAGGCCTTGAATTTCTAAAGTTATCATTGACTGTAGGTGATATGAGCCAAATTTCATATTAAATGGCTTTCTGTCTTGTCATAAGAAGCCCATCTACGATTCATTATGTTGTTCTAACAGATGACTAAGTTTTTTTCCTAAAGCAGTGGTTCCCGAACCTTAGTGTGCTTCAGAATCACCTGCAAGGCCCATAAAACAGATTTCTGGGCCCACCCCAAGAGTTTCTAACTTAGTAGGATTGTGGTGGGACCTGGCAATTTGCATCTCTCACAAGCTCTCATATGATGGT